TTAATGATTTTTTTATTTAATATTAAGATAAAATACAAAGTTAAAAAAATTCCAAAAATATATGACTCATACTGTATCTTATTTAAAATTTTTTTAATAACTTGAAACCAATACAATAAGACTTAAAATTTTTCAATAAAATTTAAATCAAATATTTAAAAAATTTTATTTGGATATTTTAATTTCAAGAAATAATTATATAATTATAGATAAAAAATTTTTTATATTTTATAAAACATCAAATATAAGAAATAAAAAACAAAATATAAAAAATCGAATTAATAACAATTAAACACAAAAAACAATTTAACAAATATTAATAGTCAATATAATAAATTAAATTAATTTTTAAAAATTTTTCTCAAATTTTTTTTTATATATTTAAAATAAAATAAATTATTAAATAATATATTTTTTTTATTTAAATATTTTTTATCAAAAAAATATTTAATTAAATAATAATTCCACATTTACTGTATAATAATATATTTTATATTTTAATATTAATAATATAATAAATTTTATTTTATTATAACAGTATAATAACAAGTTAGTTTCTAAAAATTAGTAAAGTCTATATAATAGAAATATAGAGTTTATTTAATAATAATAGAGAAAAGATATTAGATTTGATCAAAAGATAAAAAAAAATTTAATAAATAATAATAAATTAATTTTTTTTTATAAAATTTATTGTATTAGTTAATATTATATTATATATTTTTATAAAATTAAATCAAAAGTTTTTACTTATACAATTTTTTTATTTTGATCTGATTTTAAACTATAATTATCAAAAAACCAAAGGTTCTATTTTTATATAAGTTAATTAAATTTGATTGGATTCAAATATTTGAATATAATATATAAAACAATTAATAAACTTTTACAAATATTAAATTAAAGATATACATTTGATGACTTGAAAGTATTATTCATTGTACTATTGGCTTACAGGTCACTTATACTATTTATTTTATTTAATTAATAATTTTTTTAAAATATAAAATCATAAATTTTTTAATTTTTGAAAAACTAAATTTTCGAAATAAAAAATTCAAAAATTAAATAAAATTTATGGTCAATTACTTCGATAACTTATTATTAAATTATAATACTTTTTTAATGTTAAAGTTCGAGATTCAAGCTTTATTATAAATATTTTATTTGATTTTTTGAAAAATTTAATTGACAAAATTAAAAAAATCAATTATGTATTTTTTGTATAATTATTTCAATAATTATTAAATTTGATAAAAATCTTTTTTGTTTAAAAAGTTTAAACTTCTAAATAGTAATTTTTTAATTAATAAAATTGTATAATTTTAAATATATTAAAAAATTAAAAAATTTAATAAATAAATTACGTATACAATTGATTTTTTACAGTATAGATTTTCGATCATTTCACGCACATATGTAAAAAAGTTAAGTCAGTAATAGATCATCCTCCACTTGACACAAAATAATCCGAATTTCCTTATTTGAATATGGTATTTAGAGCTTGGTTGATATCCATTATTAACTGGATTTTTAGAACAAATATTAGATTACTTCCTCCTCCCACTGAACCGGCCCAACAAACGCAAGAGCATGAAATTCCAAAATCACAGCCTGCACATATGTCCAGGTTAGTATAGAACGCATTGACTTTGTGTGAATGATAATTAAGTAAATTTTACAATTAGGGTCACAACGACAAAATTCACGTTGCCCTCTCATGCTGACATTCGAGAATTTGCGAATGGGGGAGTTCTTATGGGTTGGATAGATTTGGTTGCGGGCATTTCGGCCAGAAAACATTCTATGCATCCATGTGTAAGAATTTTCAAATCTATCACTCTCTTTCAGTAAATAAAAAGATCTAACGCCCTTGCTAATGTTGTGTTATAGGTCACAAAGTGTTTTGACGCTGTGCACTTCATGAACCCAGTTTTAGTAGGAGACGTTGTCTTACTTCAAGCTAGTGTTAACAGGGCATGGAATACATCAATGGAGGTGAAATGACAAACATTCATTTACTTTCGATAAGCAAATTACAAAGGAATTTTGTAATTCGTATGAAGTTTTTAGGTTGGTGTGCGAGTTGAAACGGAAAATCCAATAACTGGAAAACGAAGATATTGTTGCCACGGTATGAGGTTACTTTGAAGGATTTGCTTATTACCTTGATTTCAGATAACATAAAGCGATTAAATATCAAAATCTTGTGTTTAGCATATTTAACCTTTGTTGCCCTCGCACCAACAAGTACTCAGGTTTCAGGAGCATCAGCTTATCAGAATGTTAAAGCATCAGTGCCACAGCTTATTCCCAATACACCAATCGAGATGCAACGATATGAATTGGCAGAACAACGCCGGCAAGCACGCTTAGCTCATTTTTTACATGAGGATGAACATGGTCGAAGGGAACAAACTAGATTAGCTGAGATTAGGAATATCATGCGAACTTGGTCTGAACTTAGTAACGTGGAAAAGAAGAGTAATGCTGAAGTCCCACCTCTGTTACAGGAACCAGATGCTTATGATGAGGACAAAAACGACGGAAATGACGAAAATGATCCAGCTAAATTATATCTGAATAGAAGAAGGTCAATATATCGAGACTCTCTTCTAGTACAACCAGATCAAAGATTTATTTCCGAAAGCTTTGCAGAAGTCATGGAAGTCATATTACCCCAGCACGCAAATACTTTACAGGTTTTTGTCAATTGCATACCGTTCTTTGAACATGTAAATTAAAATGTTAAAAGCCATATTCCTATAACTTTATAGATTACATTCGGTGGTCAAATTATAGAATGGATGGAGCAAAGCGCTCGAATTAGTGCGTTAAGACATTCGAGAAAATTTGTGTTATCGGCTAGGTAATTTTATATGTCGCCTAGTTTATATGACATTAATGATTATTGTTAAATCATTTAAATTTATTGAATAGTATCGATTCTCTGCAGTTCATTAAACCAACTTATGTTGGTTATTGTAAGTGTCCATCTAAAAATTTTGAAGTATTTTTCCATGTCTTTTTTTTTCATTTAACGGCGACATTTTTTTATAACCTACTGTTTGTTAGCCATTACAGTACGTTCAATAGTATCATGCACATTTCACTCTAGCATGGAGATATATTGTTTTGTGGAGGCTAGTGAGTATGAAAAAAGCGCCAGGAAAACGATTGCTCTTTTATTAATTTATCGACTTTAAATTTTAGGGAATTCGTTAACCGGTGAAAAGTTCTTCACAAACGATGGATTCTTTACGATGGGTAAACTTGATTGATCTCTTTGTTTTAATTCGTTAATATTAAAAAAAAAAAGGATCATTATATATATATATTTTATAGTTGCCGTTGATTTTAACAATATTCCAGTACGAGTTCCACGTGTTGTTCCGGAAAATGAACAAGAGGAACAATTGTTCGCAGGAGCAGAAGTAAGAAGGACACGTAGACTTCAACAGCGTAGAGAATTAGTTCAAAAAGAGTTGTCGACACATCCTGAGGAATTTGTGCAGTTCAGCAATGTAACATAAGCAAGGTTCATGACAGGCCTTTAGTGTCGTTATCGATTATCGATCTTTTTCTTGTAATCTTTAATGCGAAAATAGTTTATAGGAAGTCCCTTGCCATTATCAATAATAAAATTTTACTAGAAGTTATACTTCACAAAACCATCACATTAACTATGATAAAACTATAATATGTTGATTATGATTCGCCAGTTGCTGTGATCAGGCTTTACTATAATTTTATTAATGGAGGTATCAAAAATTATATAATAGTATCTTTAATATTTCTTATGTTTTGTAATCTGTTTTCCTGTTGCCGACCACATAAGGCCTTATCGAACCCTTTTAGAGATCTTACTTTCAAATAACTTGAATGAAATGATAAATCATGTTATGTCAAGTTCCTATTGAGTAAAAAATTTGAATTACTATTGTTGTTGTTGCTAAAAGATCAAAGACGAATATTATTAAGTAAATTATTTAAAGTGGTAATTTACTTATGGCTTTTGTTATCTTTTTTAAATTCAAGATCAAATACATATCTTATTTATAATCTATGCAACATACATATAACTAAGAATAAAGATAATTTTTTTATTAATATATATATTTTATTATTTACTAAATAATAACAATGATAATAACATATAAATCATTTTATATCCAAAATTAATTTATCGAATATTTTTTAATCGAATTATACATGAATTTAAGATAATAATGACAATAATTTGGATTATTTAAGATGATATTATCATCTTCTAATTTATAATTATTCTTTATTCTAAATAAAAACAATAATTACAATAAAATAAAAAGTTAAACAATCTTGTATCATCAAGTTTTAAATTAAATTGTTGCTTGAAATTTTGGAAATCGATTTCTTTTGTGTATTTATAACAATTTCATTTGAAATATTTGATTTTAAAATTATTTAAAGTAAGTTTACAAAAATAATTATTTAATGCGGTATGGCCTTTAATAAAATAATATCTTTTAAATATGATATATCGCTTAGATGGAATTTTTTGAAAAATATTTTTAATCATATTTTCAAACACGACACGAATCAATTATTTAATCCAAGTTTCTAAATCATCGCATTAATTCGCCGCTTATTTCAAGAATCATAAATCTAATTTGATACGGTAAATCATTTATACTGTACTGTAGCAAGTAGGGTAATGTTTATTTGACTATTTTTTGTTTTCAGAGATATTTAAGTATCGAATGACTTAAATTGAGTTTTTTAGTCTACAGTGTCTACAATACAGTACGTATTTAGTTTAGATGCATACAGTATATATAAAAATAATTATAAATGATTGTTTAAATTGGGTTTCAATGCTATGTATCCAAGCGTTAGAACATGTGATTCTGATGAAGATACAAGCTACGGTATTCGCACGATATCCGTCGATATCCGTAAATATCCACAAGTTTTTAATATCTTCCGAAATATGAATGGCGGAATAATTTTCATCATACGCATAACCGCACACATTTAACACATTTATCTAACCTAATTTATATTAACCTGACAGCTTTTCTAAATGAATAAACTCTTTCGTTAGCCAATAGCTACTGTATGTTCGATCCGATTCACTCCATACATGTAAAAATAAAAATAGGTCACCCGAGTTTATAATCTTTCACTCATGAGTGAATGTATTATTTAAAAATTATTTAACATAATGACCCGGAGCCAATCCGGGGCCTATATCCCTAAATGGACTTCATTGTGAGCGTGATACGGTAACAAAAAGGTTGTTTCATTTATACTTTTTTTTTCAAAGTGCATACCGTATATCGGAGTTTTTCTTACGCAGAACTCCAGCGGCTTATAAATAATAACGAGAATTAATTGAAACTCGCCTGCAAAGTGAAGCGATGATTTTTTCCCTGAAATTTTCATATCTAAAGGTTTTGACCATCATAAGAATCATCCAGTTGATTCTAATTTTTACGATTCTCCAATTAGGTTTGTACGCAATACGTAAATGATTTTAGTGATTCAAGACTATCTTCGTGGTAATAACATTATATTATCATCAACAGAACTTATTCAACTGATAACGTATAATGCGGTCAACAGTGCTGCTCTCTGGATCGAGCAGATTGAAGTTGACCTTGTAAACACGTATTATTTGGCACCCAGACGTGATAGAAATATAACAACCAGCGATATTGGTGTAAACCAGTTCAATGACAATGCAGGGTTTGCTTGTTATTTTTATTTTGCCACTTGGATCATCTTTTAACGATGACACGTATTCAACACTTTAATTTTTACTAATCAGATGGAAAGTGTGGATACTTATTGTGACATTGATCACTCTATTTGCTCTTGGTCAGTAGTTTAAAATTTATCAATTTGCTATTAGTATCCACTTTATTATTATTAAATTCTTCATTCGTATCATCTTTTATAGTTGCATTTACCATCCCTTCTATCATTGAAAAAAAAAGAAATAAAATCTATTTCTTTTTATTAGACCCGTAGGTATAATTTAATATGGTATTACCAATTTTTACCATATGCAGTAATGACTTTTTTTTTTTTAATTCAAAATAAAATTTTTAGAGCACTTTTTGTCCTTTGGCTCACTGAAGGTATTCTATATCGGCATATTATGATAGCACTATATGAGTTTGTATGCTATGTCGATGTCATTTCTATTTCCCTTCTTCCCCACCAATATAGTCTTTACCAATCTCATATGGGCGTACAGAGGAGTTGATTTATCACCATACGGTATAAAGGGCGCTTATATAATTTCCACCTTGTTTGGATGGATTTTATTTATCTCTTTCGCGCCAACAACATTTCTGTGCTGGAAAATTCACTCTGAAGATCTCGATGTTCGGAGGGAGAGCCTGCCAATAAAACAGGAACAATCTCCAATTATTCAACCACCGATAACTCAGACATCGCCGATGAATAATTATCAAGAATCGATGATCCAACAACCAATAACTCAGACATCACCGATGAATAATTACCAAGAATCGATGATCCAACAACCAATAATTCAGACATCACCGATGAATAATTATCAAGAATCGATGATCCAACAACCAATAACTCAGACATCACCGATGAATAATAATTACCAAGAATCGATGAATAATTACCAAGAATCGATGATCCAGCAACCGATAATTCAGCCATCGCCCGTGAATAATTATCAAGAATCAATGATCCAACAACCGGAAATTAGTCAATCATCGCCGGTGACTCATCAAGAATCCATGATCCAACAACCAATAATTCCGCAATATACTGAAATTCAACAAGATAATGTGCAACAGTATTCCTAAGGGAAATTAGCTTCGATACTGTGTTCAAGAACGTTCTAGCTGTGCGTGTATTTTTTGAAGTACTTGAACCATCATTTATTAGAGTGATTTGAATTATCAAATATTTATGATCGGTATACTTGCATGATTGAAAGTACGAAAGTTTTGTGATTAACTCTTTATTTAGTCAACAGCAGGAGACTAATTCAACCATCAAATTTCTTTTGACAACAGTTCAAATAGTTCTATGAAGATATGCCGAATTTTTTCCAACATACAAAATTTAGCGACAATATAAATCATCACAATAGGTGTCCCCCATACACTCTAACATTAACTAGAATATATAAAAAAAATTTTTTTAATATAAATAAATAAATATATACATGTGTTAATACATATATACAGTATATACATTAATATATATTGATTACCTCTACCAGTAAAGATGCATTTGACTTGCCACATAAAACGAAACAATCAATTTTCATAAGATGAGTTAGAAAAGCTTTTCACTGTTTTACTTTCATGATAAGTTCAGGATTTACTATACGTTTTTAATATATCCACTTATCATGTATTAGCCTAGCCTCGTTTGTTCAGATTATATAGTTTTGGAATTAAATTTATCGATTTCCTGAGATATAATGAACATGTAGCAACTAAAGATTATTTACAAAAAAGTTCGTTGCCACCGTTGCTACCTTAATATAATGGCTTCTATAAAAAATACATTATTGAGTTACTAATACAAGAAGGTCCAATTTGCGAATTCTAAAATCCACCATTAATAAAAATACAATGAATGTGATGAAAAAGAGTAAACTAAATAACAAGAGGGTAGATGACAGTTTACATGCAACCCAATCTATTATTATTCTTACTAATCTCGCATACCTCATTCAACGCAAAAAAAAAAAAAAAAAACAACAACAAAAAACAATAATAACCCATCAACATCAATCCATATGAAATTAGATGCCAGTCTCAACATAGATTGTATCGCTGTACAATCTGTAATCATCAATTCACCAATCTGAGAGTGTAACAAGTAGATACACTTTGCTAAGGGTAGGAGTCGACAATTCAATGGTGAGGATAATTCACACTTATATGTAGACTCAATGAATACTTAAAAAGAAACTAATAAATCATGAGTGAGAATGATTGTCAATGTAAAAGTCGTTGCAATCATTAATATATTGAATCAATGAAATTCGTGCCAAATTTACAGATCAATAAATAAATAAACAAAAATACAGATAGTGGAAAACCAAAGTTCATCCATACCTTGTTAGTGTTAGCTTTCCATTAAAAAATTCTTCCTTCTCCTCGGTATTTCATTAGATTCTCCTGCGCCTAGAACATTGAGTAGTACGACGATTATTAGAAAAAAATGTGAGCTAAACAAGATACTCATGATTTTACAATACCTCTGACAAAGTCCTTTGAGATAATACGGGTAATTTTGTTTCATCTTGCGGAACAATTCCGTACCTAGTGGGTGGCTCCTAGATTATCAGTCACAAATATATGGTAATTCAAACTGCTATCCAAATTAATCTTTCTCAAGTCGCTAAATACGTACCAGGATTGGCGGACACAAGTTAATTGGCAAATATCTCCCATGATTCTGGTAAAATATGTCTCTTTGTTGAATTTCCTCTAATCATTTACAATTTTAAATAAAATTCAGAAAAATAAGTTCATTTTCGGAACAAACTTAACGCACAAACCTTGATATAATCCTTCAAGTTTAGCTAAATATTCTTCAGCAAACTTTCTATGCTGTTCTTTTACTTTATGGCGTCGATCTATCTCCACTATCATGTGGTCGTAAGCTTTGGCAAATTCTTCGTACCTAGAAATAGTACAACCTTAGTAACCACGTTCAAGCACTTTGAACATAGCGTAAAGGCGCTTGCCATAAATTCAGGTTCAATAATTCTTCTAACAATCGATCCACCATGACCGCTCCCTTTTCAAAATCTGCCTGTCAATCATAAATTTTACATTACGTAAGTCATAGGCGCGTGATATGTTCCTTATCATAACAATGCTAATTGAATAAATTACTTCTAGTTCTTTCATTGTGTTCGCATGGTTTTCCATGTGATTTCCAAAGCCATCTAACTCTGAAAATATTTTGTATGCTTCCTCGTACGATGCCCTGTAAATATGATTCCGCACGCGAACTTCTTCACTTTTATGTCATTATTTTATCAGACTGTTATTAAGCATTCATTCATAAATTATCTCCGTTCCATTCTGTAATTAATAGTATTTCGCACCTGACGGATTCGATAAACTGAACGTCTTCCTGTAGTTCTTGGGCAATAGACGGAATCATATCGGTATCTTTCTCGAGTACTAACGATAGCAGTTGTATGGCTAATATTAGAATGCATTTCTGCTTTTGATCCATGAATGCGAATGATAACCTACCGGTAATGTCTAATAATGATTGGGCGTCTGATTGTGTTTGAAATGCTCTGCAGATTATATGGCATCAGATAATTCGATAAATATTTTCGGTTAATGAAAGAAACGTCCTTCTGAATTTCACGTACTTTAAAGCTGAAGTAACTTGATCATAGTGTCTTGCCAATGATTCCAATGTCTCTGCCATTCTTTGAGTTTTCTGTTCGAGTGTATCAAATTTTTCATATGAAAAATCTACGCCCGACTCTTCGAGTGAAATATTATTGCTCATGAGCATATCATCTAATTTCTTTAATTCGACGTTTACGCTTTCAATTATCTTGGAGCTAGTATTATGGTAATGCTATCCATAAAACGGAATGTAGATTAACAGGTGAGAAAAATAACAACTTATGGCGCCCCACAATTGATGGGTAAAAATACCTGGATGGCAGTGACTTCCTCCTGCGTCTTTATCTTTAACTCTTGTATGCTTTGTTCCTCTACATAATCATACAAAGAGGCCTTTTCTTCAATATACTTTCCCTTCTCCTTTAAGTCAAACTCCAATCCTTTACTCAATTCTCCCAACATATTGCTACTATTCACCCGAACCATCTGCTCTATTGCGATGGCATTCTCTCTGATAACAGGATCTACATACTTTGCACGTAATCTGTCTAATGTTGCATTAAGTTTTTCGGTTATGGTCGAAAGCTCTTGTTCTTTACTCTATGTTAATATTCGTAGTTACGGTTAAAAACGTAGTGTTACTCGCATTAGTTGTGAAAATGCAAAATCAGAAACGTTGAAATTTTCTGTTAAAATTCACGAATTTTACCTACAGCATGAAAATGTTGTAAGATTCCATTTTGTTTTACCGCAAATTCTCTAAATTTATCGATAACCTAATCGTTCGTCCATTCGTTCGACGACAAAAGAAATTCCGATGATGAAGCAATGTTAGTCTTTCAAACAATTAAGCAAGGTTTGTCTTTCAAACAAATAAGCAAAGTACATAAATACCTGAACTTGTCCTTCCAACTCTCCCCACAAGAATTTAAGTTTTGGATATAACTTTTCGATACTCTCGACATCGTTTCTACACTCCTTAGCAAGACCTTCGGCTTTGGAGCATAATTTTCCTCCGTGTTGTAGCGCTTTTTGGGAAATCGAAATAATGTTTATTAATTGCTGCTCCATTACTCAAATATACTGGTGGATAGATCCAACATTAAATACTCTGGTACGTGCGAGGATGATGATCACGGTTGTATTACGGTATGACAGCATTAATGGTTACACATAACTGCGATCGATCATTAGCATAATAAAATGTCTTTGAGTATTAAAACTGATTAGCGTCGAAATAATTTTTTTTAAAAAATTTTCACTATTTTTACAAGCAATAATTCGATTGCGATCGAGAAACAACAATAATTTATATAACAAGTATTTTAAAACAGGCGATTCGTCTTACCGGAGTTGATATCAAAGCGAAGTTTTGACTAGCATAAAATGCATAATCTCGACAAAAATTTTTAAAATATGCATAGCATCATTATTTTATTTATTGCATGTTTACTATTTAATTAGAAATTCAATTGTAGAATCATCATTTAACCGTTTGTTAATTTTGTAATATAATACTATATATCGTATGTAACGAATATCCGTAAATACAAATTCTTCATTATAGTCTTTTTCCAAATAAATAAATAAAGGAAAAATACATAGAAATAGTATTTTATATACGGTATAGTGTAGAAGAAAAACTTTTTGAACTTTATTTACTTGATATATACTGTATAAATAACTTTTTCAAAAATAAAGTAATTAATATGAAACTTCAATATGTAAATAATATACAACATTCTGACAAATATATACAATATATATGTTCTTAAACCTATATTTTAAAACTGGTATAAATATATTAACTATTTATTACAATTTTAATTAAATTTTGAAAAAATCAAGTGAAAATTAACCTAGAAAAATTTATTATACATAAATTAAAAGTATTAATTGATAATTCAAGACTTTCTATAAAAAATTTAACAATTAAATTGTTAAATGTTTTAAAATTACTATATAAAATATTTTAAGATTCATATTTGATAATTTAATTGTTAAAGTTATAAAAATGATATATTTTTAAAACTTTTATATTTATTACTTTTATAAAAAAAACTGTTTTATGTATTTAAATAAAGAAATATTTTAATTAGAAATAAAAAGAATTTTATTTTTGATAAAACAATGTTTCAACTATTTAAAAATACATTTATTTAACAATATAAAATTTAAAATATGTTAAAAAAATGTTTAAAAATTATATCAAAATTTTTATATCAAAATTTTTTTTTCTACCTTAAAAAAGTTATAAACACAAAATTTTATATTAATATTTTATAATAACATAAATTAAATTAATATTATTTGAAAAAATAATTTGTTATATAAAACTATGATCTGCAAATTATTTGACAAATGCAATTTATAAAAATGTTATTAAATAGAGTAATACTGTAAATATTTTAGAAATATAAAGTCTATATATGGATTTTTAAGTATATTAAAATTAATTAAGTCAAATACTACATTAATTGATATTATAGATTAAGTATATATATTGTTAATATTTGTAGATTCTTAATACAATTAATATAATTATTTGATACAATTATTTAAATTATTATTAAAACATAAATAATTAAATTGTAAAATAATTATTTTTGAGAATTTTGAGAATTGAGCTAATAACAAATAATTTATATTATATACTATATATAAATTAAGTTAAATATTTGTATTTATTCAAATATACTTTAATTTGAAAAACTTATGTAATTAGATTTTTATAGTATATTATTTTTGAAAAAATAAAATCAAGTTTTTTAATTAATATTTTTATTAATATTTTTCTAAAAAAAATCAATGAAAGTTATAAAACAAATTTTTTTAATATTAAATTTTTATTAAAGTTTTTTTTAATAAAATAAATATAATATTTTGTCCATTCTATTAAAATTACTTAATAGATAAAAATTTAATTAAAAATTATTTATAAATATTGTAATAATAAAAAACAAAAAGTCCTTTACTTATGCATAAGTCTTGTTGCAATATATTATATAACAATTAAGTAAGTCTACTTTGCATTATTTAATTATATGGTTTGTATTATTATTAATATTTCTTTCTTCTGGTCTTGTAAATAAAAGAAACAATTAGATTTGGTTGATTTTTGTTTATTGATTATAAAATTATAATGAATCAAAAATATAATACTGGAAAATAAAATATATATGAGTTTTATCATATAGATAAAAATTTTAATTATTAAATAAGCATACTTATTATCTTTATTATTAAAAAAGTTAAATAAATTTATAAATATTTCTTTTTTTGGGGGGGAGGAGGGGGGTTTCCCCTTATAGGTAAGCATTATTTCTTTATTTGATATTGTATATAATATGGTATATATCATGAAAGAAACAACATCTCTTATGTACATGTATAGCAAGTTAAATACTAGCTTGCCTATATGAACACATCTAGCTAATATTGAAAAAGAAATTCAAAATAATATTATATACTAGCTGTGCTTGAATAGCAGCTATGCCTATCTACTCAGGAAATTTTGCAAATTCTTTTGATTTTTTAAATATAAAAAATTGAAAAGA